CTGGTGGTTTCAAATGGCTGACGTTGTGGTTAGCAGCCCAAGATGTAACCACTGTGGCAGCAGGGCTCCACGTACATATTTCAGGGGCTTCAAAAAGTTTGTGAGAAAAGTCCATTATCTTTTAATTACATTTTTTCCACAAACTTTGTGAAGACATGCATGCACAAGCACGCACACACGATTCTACAGTCTCCTGAGAACTTAGAGGGAGTATGGGAGAAACACCCCTGGGTGCTTGAATGTGTTCAGGGCCAGCAATAAAGGAATAATCTCTGTCCTCAGCCTTCCTTTACAAGGCCCCGTGTTCATATTCATATTTTCATCTCATCTTTTAAAATATCTTGTGTTTTTATAAAGCGGAGATATCACCTTAAGCTTTATGTATCTCTGTATCACTTAGCACTAAGACATTGTTATCTCATAATAAGCTGTTTTACTTCTTTTGAAACCATAGCTTTAGCTAAAAGCAAATGATTCTGAGCCATATTCTTCTTCCGGAACTCTGTTGGATCGAAGCCTGCTATGGCCACTGACTGGCCTCACAAAGCCAAATCCTAAACAAGATGCCAGAGGAGACCGTATCCCATCAGGGGTTTCTTCTTTGTAGGCTCCTTCTGACCACGTCCCTGCCCACCCCAATCCCTACTTCCCCGCTTTGGTCCTCCTCCAGACCTGGCATGAGAGGTCTCATTGCCCAGACTCCAAACTCAGCTTTCTCCCAGTGCAGAGGACTTCAAAGAAGGGTACGTGGGGCACAGAGCCTTGAAGCCACACAGAAAAGTATTACACATTCTATTTACAGCCACTTTTCTGTCTCATATAAAATGTTGCATGCTAACTTTTATAAGGCACAGAATGTACTAGTTCAGCAGAGTACTTTTACATTTCAACCAAACATGCTCATTGTTTAACAGTAATAGGCAAAAGCTAGAATCTGTATAGTCAGGTGGAAATCTGTCAGAGAAGGAAGACACTTTGCTGCCATGCCAAATTTCAAGATCTGGAAAAATACAGCATATCTACTGAGTTCCAATTCTCACAGGCTTCCCTGTGTGTGCATGCGCGCGCGCACACACACCCACACCCCGCGACAGCTCACCAGTGACAGCTTACCAGTGACAGCTCACATGGCCCTCCACCCTTTCCCAGCATGTGAACCAGTGATGCTCCCAGTTTCCCAGCATGCATCTGCACCTGCCTCCCTGGCCCCTCCCATTTCCTCTCTTCCCTATATTTCTTCCAATGTGTGATCAATGTATGATCAATGTATTTACTTGTGGAGCCCTGGTGGTGTAATGGTTACAAGCTGGGCTGTAGTCCACTTGGTTGGCAGTTCAAAACCAGCAGCAACTCCAAGGGAGAATTACTGGGCTTTCTACTCTGTAAACCAGTCTCAGAAACCCCTGAGGGGTCACTATAAATCAGCCTTAACTAGAAGGCGGTTAGTGAGGGTTTTAGACCGCCAAGTGAACAGTAAGCAAGACTTATTGGTCTGTTGCATAATAAAGATTTTCTTTCCCTTTCCGTCAACTATTTGCCTTTGAAGCAAATCATCTAGGAAATGGTAAGCAAAAGAAAAGGGCAGGAGATGACAGCCATTCAGACAATCCCCTTTGGCCCTTTCTGCAAAGTTTCCTTGAAGTTGAATGGACAGACTTAAGATGGGCTCTTCTCTGTGGAGAAGGTGCTGCTGATGAATGGGGCAGCCAGCGAGCTGCAGGAGGGGAGGAACGAGTGAAAGGATGCCATAACCCATGAAGCAGGGCATCTGTTCCTGACTGAGGAAGAGCTGCCTAGCCCTCAGCCTGGGTCCTCACAGTCCAGCCCAGTTTAGAAAGGTGGCTAGTGACCCCGTTCTAACCGGAAGCACCGCACATCACGTTGAATTCGGCCCAAATGCTACGCAGTGAGAAATACAGCACCAAAGATAAATTGCTGGACTAGCTGTTGCAGTATGAGGGCCATGCTATCTTAGGAAACTGTGACTAAATAAAAACCCACGTGCCAGGACATTAGATAAACAATGAAATCTCTCGAGACCAGAATAAAGTGAGCAAGGTTCCCTATGCTTCACCCTCCAAACCTTTTTGTCTGACACACAGGGAGAAGAAACAAGCAATGTTAGCAATGAACATACCATACTGGGCCGGCCTCCAATAATATTGAATCCCAGGGAGCCAGCATCTCGGTGCAGGATAAGAGTCAGGCTTTTGGTTTCTTCACCCTGCAAAAACAGAGGAGTTCAAATTTTTATTTACAAACAGCAAAGCACTGATGGGGATTTTCTCTCCACTGGCACAGAGCACGTGGACTAATGAGCTGATCATTACAAATCTTACGTCTCTCGGGAAATTCATCTAAGGGACGTTTCTGAACCCACACTGGAACCATGTCTTGTATTTTGGAGGTTACAAACATTTCTAAATACAATGTCACCCTAGAATAACCACATTCAAATAGTTGAAGGTGGCATGTCTGATCAATGACTCCTTGGTCTGCACCGGCAGCTCTCTCTGGAGTGGCCCACCACGTGCTGGCTGTCTAGACAGCTGCGTTCTCTTTTGAGTCCATTCTCAACAGCAGCATTCCTGTCATGTCACGAAAGGTTCGAAGCACAGTCCTCTCAGACACGTGAGCGCATGCGCAACCCATCAATAGTCATCTGTGTTTGGGGGACTCGGGGGAAAGCGGTGCAAGAGAAGTCAGATGCACACATGGGGTGTGCAGAAACATTTGAATCTTACTCAAGGGGGGGAAGCACTTTCACAAAGTAATTACTGTCCAGTCCATCTGAACGGCAAGGCTGTTCAACAGAAGACACTCTGTTTAAGATTGGTAGACGTGACCCTCCTTCAATCAAACAAGTAGAAGTCATGCAGGCAGGTCACACAGGCACGCCGCTGGTCAGCCAAATGGGATGGAGATGCCAGGGCTTCTCAAAGGCTCCGCTCAAGGAACAGACAGCCAAATAAAAATACACTTGACCTTATGCGTAAGCAGCTACTTCATATTCTTTGACATAAACTTTAAACTCTAGGAGACACTTTGGAAATAATCCCAATTATACCTCATGTGTACTGATCTAACGTGCATTTGCTTTGTGAACACTCTCCGTTCAAACATATGCATGTCCTTTTTTAAAAATTGTACAACATGGCAGCTTATGACAAAGTAGATTTTATTCTAATTTATTACTCACTGATAAAGCCTTTGTCTTCTACATTTGCTAGAGACATGGGGATCCCACCATTTGAAGGGCATGATGCAAACCTTCAGCATGGCCCAGGAGGCCACTGTTCCTGAGGGGCTTGGTATTTGTCGGGAACGTGACTGTGCTTATTGCTGTCCTCCTCAATGCACAGGTCTGTTTCCCATTTGACCAGGAGAACTGGCCACAACCAAGCCCTCCATTGACTCCACCCAACGCAAAATTAAAGATTATTGATTCAAAACCAAAAAGAACAAAGCCTCCATTTTAAAATAAGCAAATGACTTTTAGACATTTCCTCAAAGAAATGACCAATAGACACATGAAAATATGTTCAATTTCACTAACCATTTGGGAAATACAAATTGAATATATTTGTAAATATAATATTTGTATTATAATATAATAATAATATGTAATAATATTTTTTATCCACTAGGACGGCTATTGGAAATTGGGGGACCCAAAAAAACAGAAAAGAGCAAATGTTAGCAAAGATGTGTTGAAACTGGAATCCTCACCCATTGCTGGTGGTAATTTAAAAGGGTGCATACAGCAGCTATGGAAAATAGTGTGCTGGTTCCTCAAACAATTGAGCATTGAACTGTGTTACTGCTGATCCTATGGCATCCACTCAAACTCACAGTGACCCCACACAGAACCCCCAGGTAGGGTTTTTTTGGCTGCAATCTTTATAGAAGTAGCCTAACATGTCTTTCTCCCACTGAACTGCCTGATGGCTTCACACCCAAGCTTTCAGGGAGCAGCTGAGTGCTGAACTGCTGGGCCACAAGGTCTCCCTTGAGCCAGCAAGTCCACCCCTAGGTATATTCCCCAAAGACACAAAAAAGCGGAGATTCAAACAGATACTCCTACAACTGATGCTCACCGCAGCATTATTTACAATAGCAAAGCGAGGCTGGGTGGGTAGGAGGGGAAGACTACTTAGGTGTCCAAAACAAAGTAAGTCAGTAAACAAAAAAATGGTCTATTCAGACAGTGGAATCTTATTACCTGCATTGAGAGAAGTAAAGTCCTGGTACATCCTATGACAGTGATGATACTTTAAATTATTATGCTAAATTAGTCAGTCACAGAAGGACAAAGAGTATAGGACCACACTACTATGAAATATCTGGACCAGGCAAATATTTAGGGAGAGACAAGGTCTTCTTAGTGGTGACCAGTGGCTGGGGTCAGGGTTCAGGGGTGGGGCTAGTACTGCAGTGGGATGTGTAGGGAAACTTGGGAAAGGCAGTGATGGCTGCACAACACGGTGGCACAGTAATGACCACCACGGAATTGCACATGTAAAAACGGTTACAACGAAAAAGCCTGGGTCATATGTATTTAATCACAATACATAACAAATTCAAGCCAACCAACCAACAAAAACTAGGGGGCTTCACTGTGTATAAATTATCTCCATGCTGGAAGATCTTAGTAGCCACAGCTCTTTCTTGGGATCAGTCTACAGCAGGATTCAGAATATTCCCCAAAATTCCAGGTAAGCCTAAGTACAAATTACCGAATCTCTGAATCTCTGTAGAAATATAAAAATGACCATTTATCAATAGAAAGAGAGCTTTGCTTTCTGAAGAAAGAACAGGGTATCCTAGAGGAACCACTCATCAAAACCTCCACTTTTTAAAGGATCATTTACTCCATATATAAAGGATAACGTTTTAATATAAAAGAGAAGCAGTTGCCTTCATCAAGTTATTGTACATAACAAAAAGCAGGCCAAGACCTTTCATGACAGTCCATTTTCTTGATATTTTTTAATTTGTCAGTAAACAGCTGCATGCTCAAAAGCAACTATCAGTACCCCCAATGTTTACAACTGATTCATTCGGGTTCAAACAAGTCCACAGGTGAGAGCATTCACTGCTGCAACAGAATAAAATATCAGAATCAACTTAATAGTTTAGAGATGAAAATATGGTGGTTTGGAAACTGATAAAGTATATACCTCTCTGCCTTGGAACTGAAATCATTGATCAGCCCATTTCTAGCTCTTGTATCTTAAAACAAACAAATGCCCCTTTGCTTCCAAGTTAATCCAAATCCCCCCAAGCAAAACCAAACTCACTGCCATTCAGCGGCTTCAAACTCATGGTGGGTGGGTTTGGCCTGCCAATCTTTTGGTGAGCAGCCGAGTCCCTTACCCACCGCACACACTAAGGCTCTCTCTGCTATCTCAGAGGAGGCGGATGTTGGAGACACACGAGAATGGGAGCAAGTTAGCTCATGTGTCTGGCTTTCATAACTCATCGATGATGGAAACTGCAGCAGTCACACAGTAATGCAAGGCAGATGGCATTGCTTTGACAATCTCAAGTGATGCACAAAGGAGAAAGCACAATCAAATGATGAAAAAGACTGCTTTCAAATCTACTTTATGATAAACATTCTAAACAAAACAAAAACTGGGAGGGAGGAAAGGAAGAAGAAAGATTATTGTACTGCATTATATTGTAGTAACAAGGCTAACTGCTAACATCTGCTGATTACTATATGCAAGAAATTATGCTAAGCATTTAAGCATTTTATTTCATTTGCTAAGTATCAAAAAATTATAAATTGGTCTTATTAATGAGTCTCATCATACAGGTGGACAGACTTAAGAGTGGTTACAAAAACCAAAATGCTGAATTTGAAGAAAGATAGAGCTGAGGACCCATGTTCTCCAATTCAGATCTTAATACTGCTCTTCAATACTGCTCTTTTTTTTTAAGTCAAAAATGGAAGAGCATTCCATGTAGACTTTGGCCCAAATGGTTGCAACCAAAGTCCCACCAAAAATGGTCCAATTGCGTGGCTAGATTTTCAAAAAAGAACTCAATTCAAAGCACTTACATAGATGGCCAGTGTCAGAACAAACTCCCAAACTGTTGACGGTTCATCTCAAAGAGACCTATTCTAAGACGATGAAGCAATCTATGGCCAGCCCTGGTCTCAACATATGCCTTCAAAGGCAACCCTCCTCCGCAGATGAGCAGCTTGCAGATAAGACACGTTGAGCGATGGAGTTGCCCTTCTATGCTTTCCTGACAGATCCATCACTGGGCATGCAGAGGTGGGGGTGTCCACAGTTGCTGCTAGCATTCTTAGCTAGTCCTGGCTGTAGGTGGCAGGGCCTATTTCAAGATTGGTGACAACTGTAAATCAGCATGTGGAAAATTCAACACAGGATGCTGGGGTCGGGTGGAGATAACAGAAGCCAGCTCTGTCTCACTGAATTCCTTTCGCTGTGCTACCTAATTCTCAAAGGCCTTTTCCTATTCTCCGTCACCGTCTGCTTTGCATTTGCTTTTACCTTTCTTCTACCCTTCTCCCACCCCAACAACCTTAACTAAAGATGCCCCCCCTGTCGCTGAGGTAATTAGAAACTCTTAATTTAATTTCTAATGTTTTGAAAGAAAAATTAATAGAGATTTTAAATATTCAACATCACACAACTTTAAAATAACACTAACGTCTGCTTTACCATCGTATCATTGTAAACAGAGAAAAGACTGAAGTCCATTTTGCTTGTATCCACAATGGATGTTCATAGAAGCAACATTAGGAGATCAGAGTCACAGGACACACTGTATCCGGCAAATCTGCTGCACAAGACCTCTTTACACTGTTGAAAAGCAAGAATGTTACTTTGAGAACCGGCCCTGGTATGTTAAATTGCCTCCTATGTGTATGTGAAATGTGGGCCTTGAATATGGAAGAATGAAGAAGAATTGGTGCATTTACACTGTAGTGTATACTCAAGTACAGTGTACAGTCAAGAATACTGCAAGTCCCATGGACTTCCAGAAGAAGAAACAGAGCTGTCTGGGAAGAAGCACTACCAGAATGTTCCTTAGAGAAAAGGATGGCAAGACTTTGTCTTACATATTTGGACATGTTGCCGGGAGAGACTGGTCCCTGAAAAAGGACCTCATGCTTGGCAAAGCAGAGGGGCAGTGAACCAGAGGAAGGCCCTTGAGGAGATGGGCTGACACAGTGGCTGCAAGGAT